TTTTTTTCTGTCCTTTCTGCTTTTTCGCATATCTTGTCTATTATATTTTTAACTAGCATTCTTTATATTATATTGCATCAGTTTTTCAAAACGTGAAGAAAAATTCTTGTTTTTCGCTGACTGAAAAAAACTGCCAATCTACAACCCTACCAAATAGTTCTGAGACAATCGGCAACAGTTTCCAAATACTTTAAGTTTAAGTTGACTGTGAAAGTAAAGAATATGTTTGGCATTATTCTTGAGCAACGTGCCCTATTTTATTGACCAAACGAATCATTGCTATTTGATGTCACAAAAATAGTATCAAAAATAAAAGTATACAACGACAGAAAGTTCTTGAACAAGTATCTTTTTATTCACCCATTATCTTTTCTTCGATTCCAGACAGTGTCAATGTAAAAAGCTTGAAAGACTGACTATCATAGATGTTTTCATATTTTAAATTATAGTGGGCAAATGTTTTTCTTAACGAGGTTTTCCGCTGTAAAAATGCTAGCGATCTAAAAGAAACTTAAAAAACTACTGTGAAATAGGAGACATTATATCTTTTCTGCTTGTGTAGAAGAGCAAGATAAATATAGTAAAACTATACATTTTTGGACTTTGTGTTACATTAAACAATGTACCACAACCTAGACAAAATAGAAATTTTAAATTTTAAAATATTTTAGCTATTTTTACGTGAAAAAAAAGCAATAGGATAGACTTTTGTTTTTCTCTATCATTCAGTACATTTCTTTGATATTTGAGAGTCCAATAAATGAGTTATTTTGTCGAATTTATTCTGCTCTTCAAAACAAGCAAAAATTACGACATGATTTGTCCTCTTTCACGATACTTTTGTAGCATTTTTGTAGCGGAAAACCTCGTTAGGAAAAACATCTGACTACTATAATATGTTAAACGAATAGATATGTACTGTAGTCAGCTTTTCAAACTCTTTCCACTTATAGTATTTGAAAGTGAAGGAAAGTCAATAGGTGAAAAGAACGAGATTTGTTACAGAACTTTTAGCCGTTGGGTATTTTATGTTTGATACTTTTCTCTTGGTCTCAAATTGCGAAGATTCATTTGTTCAATAAGATATGAAACTTTGGTTAATAATAGTGCCAAACATATGCTTATTTTGAGATTCAACTTAAACATAAAGTGTTGGAGAACTTTTTTCGAGTATCCTGAAACTTTTTGCGAGTGCTGTATAAACATATATTGTGTAACGAAGATTTTTTAAAAGATATTAAATCAGATGTAAAACGCACATTCAAAAGAAAACGAATCCAATAATTCTATTTTTGTGTTTAACTAGGTTTTTTCTTGATTTTGTACAATCAAGATTGGAAATTGGTGTGAAGTTCTTTGTGATTTCATTAAGACAAAGCTTAAAAGATTGCTTCGCAGCAGAAACACACTTTGTGCTTTTTTTCTGCTTTTTCACAATAAAACTCCTGCCATTTTCTGCTTTTCAAACTTCAAAAGGTGGCAACCCTGCCTACAATTGCTGAAATTTTCACCTGAAGATACCTTTCCTTTCTAATTGGGCTGATATTCCTACAAAACGTCGCCCGTCTTTTATTACTAAACAAAAGAAAATTTGCAGAACTTATCTTCCAACTTAATACATTATACAAATATTTATTCAAATAAAACTATTTTATTTAACAGATTACCACTTATTACAAACTCATTTTCATATCTACATAGATTTTATTTTCTTCCAACAATAGACAAAACAATTTTCTCGTATTTTATTGTATTTCTTAAATTTAATACTATATTGTTCTGTAATCCAGAACATTATTGAATAACATATTTTTGCATAAGGAAAATATTCTTGTAAAGATAAATTGGAACATTCGCTTTCAGCACGTAAATTTAAATAATTTATTTTGGTAGAATTAATTCGTGTAGCATCTCTTGTAAAATTGTGTGTTACTCGCTGCAAAGACTTATAATTAATATAAAGAGAAACATTATTTGGCAAACAAGTTTTACTATTAAATAGAAATTGTTCTATATAATCATCATGGACATTGAGAAGATTATGTTCACTAAGAAACAAATATTCAATAAGAGAGAAATTTTGATTATCATTGTTGGATTCATAAGATTGTTTACGATTCTGTGATTTATGATTAATCACAGATAATTGTTCGACAAATGGAAATGATTGGGCAATTTGAAGAAAAAATTCATGTTCAAAAGGAGAGTCATCATATAATGACACAACACGAACATGTTGAAATAATCCACCTGGAAAATTATTTGCAATATCAGTGTAATATGGCGTAAAAGATGGATATGAATAAATATGACATCGACCTTCTCGTGTCTCTGGCAAATAATCAACATAAGAAACAATTTCATTATTTGGAAAGTCAATGAATGTCTGTTGAATATCTTCTGTTGATGGAAAATACATTTGATTACGAATAAACATATTTGAACGAATATAAAATCTAAATTGATTTAATCTTGGCATACGATTAATAATGTTTTTCTTCAAATGATTTCCATCAATAAATGTCTCATCATCATAGACTGCAAGATACAAACTGAGTTCTTCTAAATTTGACATTCTATTGAGAAGTGGAACGATTGTTTTATTATAATCAGATGTTGTGCTCTCACATGACAGAGAAAAACACTTTAGATTTGGTAAATCACCCTGATTAAAAATGTTTTACTATTTGATAACATAAAAGTTTTCCTTGTAAAACTAACTTGATTTTCAATTTGATCTTGATGATAAATATCCACTATATCAACATAGAGCGTATGAAGTTGATTAAAACGACCATTAAGAAGATAAAGACAATCTTCAAAACATTGTACTCGTATATTCAATTTCAAAAGAGTTGAAGAACGAAAAGTAGGAGGAAGTGGATCATCAAAGCATAATAGAACACGATTTTTATACGATGATTCATATAATGTTAAAGAAATTAGATTGGTCAAACAGTCAAGATGTAGTTGCATATGTTTATCGTTGTCAATAACGTCTCATCATTATTTTTATTACCATCAATTGTAATAAAAAGTGTTTTTATCTGATCTTTGAAAATACCAGATGAAAAATTTTTGTCTAAATATATATGTAGAATATTAGTAAGAAAAAAAAACTGTGAAAATAATATCAATATATTCATATGATCCAGTCATCTATATGAATGAGTTTCATAGATTTTTCATTTTTGTTTTTAGAATAAGAACAATTTAATTGAAATATCTTACCAGTAAAAAGACATCGAGCTGACTCTTCATTAATATTCTATAGACCAAGAGTATGTAAATTAGGATAATCGGCAGCATGTAAAACATATTTCATAGATGATGATTCAAGATCAAGCCATTGACTTTTATGATGAATTGAAGGTAAAATTTGTAAACAAAATCGATTAAGCATCATATCACAACAAATTAGATCGATAAAATGATGTGATAACCATTTAACAAAAGTCAAATGACTTGTAAAAATTGGATCTTGAATAATTTTATTTAGTCGTTGATTGACAGCTTGAAAAGAATAAAGTACATCAAGACTGTTGAGTTTTTTGAAAATAATCATAAGGATTTCATCAGGTAAATCATTTAATCCAATGCATGAATTGAACATATTTGATGTTACTGATCGATTCTTTTCGATATATGAAAAATCAATATTTATATGCATATATTCATCTATTCTAAATGACCGATGTCATCAATACAAACAATAGTACATTTTTCTCTAGTCAACATTGATAATGAATTGAAAGCATAAATGAATGAATGAATGAATGAATATTGTTATTTCTGCTTTCTCATTTGTCTAATATATATGTCGTATCGAAGTTACACTGGCCATCGAAGCGGGTGTGGGTGTGTTTGGTTTTATGTTATCATAGTGCATACTCACCAAGGGGGAAAAAGCGAGACTCCTAGAGTGCGTACTCCACCCGTACTCCACTCGTACTTCAACTATACTCCATTCGCACTCTATCTCTACTTTCCTATTACCAAGTCTACTGCGGTTCTTGTTTGACAGTATTCAATTAATAGCTTATATTCAGCGCATGTAACTCGAAAGATCCGTTGTTAAGAGAGCTGAATCTTCTTCTGAGGTTACATTACTGTTTTCAGAATAATTTAGTGATATTATGTCTAAGTTTGACGTGTACTGAGGAATATCACCACGAGTCTATTAAATAAAAGCTCATTTGGAAATAAAGTGTGGGTATTGCAAGGTACGTTTTTGATCTCTTAATTTCGAGGGACAAGCAAATATTTCAATCCTCTTTTGTCGCAATAGGGGTTTCACTTTAACATTAAACTTTGGATGTTAAACTAGTTAAAGTTTAAAGTCACACTTTAAACCTTGAAAGTTAGGGTTACAGTTTAAAATAATACTGAGCTTTAAAAGTTAAAGTTAAAGTAACGATACTTTAAGTCTTTACTTTAAAAAATTTAAAGTAAATGGTTTCCTATAAAACAAATTTTTCTTAAAAATTCATAATAGTGAATAAACATTTATGAAGGTATTCATAATTGTACATGCGTCCTGTAACGGAATCCTTCATAGGTAATCTACTGTATAACGGGGTACCCTTGAGTCATCATTTGTTGCGTAACTGGGGTAGTCATGGATCATCAGCTGCTACATAAATAGGGTATCCTTGGGTTATCATCTACTATATAATGGGGGTACCTTTATATCATCATATACCATATAATGGGAATATCCTTGAATCATCGTCTACTCTATAGCGTGGGTGCCGTTAAATCGTCAGCTGCTATATAATAGAAGCATCCTGCCCTCACCNTTACTTTGCAAAATGCATGCAGTTATCCAAATACCCCGTGCTGGAGAATTGGAAATGTTGCTGGGACCAATTGGAAAGAAGATGGAAGATACGCACCCTCAAGCCGAATTTTGAAAACTTTTTAATGGGTAGGTAGACAGAGAAAATATCCTTTCAGCTGTCTTATAAAGCTCACAATAAAATAATGAAAAATTAAAAAACGTAATGCTTATTGCAAGTGAAATGATCACAAATTCGTGTCCAATAACTAGTCTCATTCTATTCTAACACACTTTACACACTCAACGTGCATATTAATTGATCGTCGCGTTTCCATACAGGCTCTCAAATCACTATCTCTCGAGCACAATAAAATTGGGGACGATGGAGTGCACCATATAGTCGTTGCACTACGAAACAACAAAGTGATACAGTTTCCTCAATCATTTATCTGTCTTCTATTCAGCTTCGTTGTTTCTAAAGACACTCACAACACTAAACATACCATACAATAAGATCGGAGAGCATGGCGGACAACGGCTGTATGATGCACTGAAAAACAGCAAAGTGAATATTTTCTTCATTCATTCATTTGTCTAATATGTAATGCACATTTTCACACAGACACTGAAAGAAATAATCCTCTGCGGAAATTCAATGTCGTCGGACATAAAAAATAGCATAAAAACATTATGCAGATTTGAAGATAAGCAATGATTTGTAAGACAGCTCATTTAAATAAGGTTTAATCAACTGCCTTGTAGTTAGCTGATGAGTTTGCTGGAATGAAAAATAAAATTAACTAGCTGATTATTATTCACGGCTATTGAATAGATCCACGTGCACGCTCATACACAATGATTCTGTTCAGAGGGGAACCGCAAACTGTATAGATTGAAGTTTAGTATCCAATTAAGCAGAAATTAAGTGATGATGGATGACATGACTAGGGTGTGGGTGTTGTTCATTTCTTCAAACAGACACCACACCCAGTCACCCCAAGCTTGCATCATCAGAACATTTTTTATTTCAACCTCTTCAGAAAACATCTGTGCAAGGAACATTACGATGAACTCAATTCCTGTCTCAATGCCTTTTCCAAATCACAACTGGCTAGTTTCTATAAACATGAGATTGAACAATTGCCAGCAAGATAAGTGAACATTGTTAAAAATAATGCCGATTCTATTGTACATTGATCTTGCATGTCCTTATCGTAAAATAAATTTGTTGTTAAACAAAAAGACTTGCAGAACTCATGCTTCAACGCAATACATTATACAGATATTTGCTTAGACAAAATTAATTTATTTCACAGATTACTACTTATCACACATGATTATTTTCATCTCTATCTAGATTTCTTTTCTTACAACAATAGACAACACAATTTTCTCTTGTTTTATTCTGTTTTTCTTGAATTTAATACTTTATTTTTGTCTTTCAATATATTAATGAATAACATATTTCTGCATGCGGAAAATATTGTTCTAAAGAATTCGAACATTTTGATTCACCACCTAAATTTAATTTATTTATTTTGGCACAATTAATTCGTGTAGCATCTCTTGTGAAATAGTGTGTTACTCGTTGTAAAGATTCATAATTGATATGAAGAATAATATTGTATGGCTAATATGTTTTAGTATCTAATAGAAATTCTTCTATATAATCATCATGAACTTCGACAATAACAAGTTCACTAAGAAAAGAATATTCAATAACAGATAAATTTCGATTATCATTGTTTGATTCATAAAATTGTTTGCAATTTTGTGATTTATGATTAATCAAACATAGTTTTTCCATAAATGGAAATGATTGAACAATTCGAAGAAAAAACTCATGTTCAAAAGAATGTTCATCAAACAATGACACCATACGAACATAATTGAATAATCCACCTGGGAAATTATTTGAAATATCGCCGTAATATTCCATTTGAGATGGATACGAGTAAATATGACATCGGCCTCGTTCTGCATCTGGAAAATAATCAATATAAGAAATTATTTCATTATTTGGAAAATCAATGAATGTACGTTGAATATCTTCTGTTGATGGCAAATTCAATTTATTACGAGTAAACATGGATGAGTTAATGTAAAATGTAAACTGATTTAATCTTGGCATACGATTAAAAATGTTTTTCTTCAAATGGTTTCCATCAATAAATGTTTCATCAATATGGATCAGAAGATATAAACCCAGCTATTCTAGATTTGACATTCGATTTAGAAGTGGGAGGATTGCTTCATCGTGATTAGATGTTTCGAGATTACATGGCAGAGAAAAACACTTTAGATTTGGTAAATCATCCTAAAAAACAAAATTTGTTTTGTTATTTGACCACATAGAGGGCTTTCTTGTAAAAATGACTGGTTTTTCAATTAATTGTGTACGATGAAGATTAACCAAAACAAAATAGAGTGTGTGAAGTTGACTAAAGCGGCCATCGAGAAGAAAAAGACAATCAGCAAAACATTGTAATCTAACATTCAATTTCAGAAGAGTTGAAGAACGAAAAGTAGGAGGAGGTGGATCATCAAAAAATAATCGAACACGATTTTTATACGATGATTCATAAAATATTAAATAAATTAGATTGGTGAAAACATTCAATATATAATCGCATATGTTTACAACTGTATCTACCGTCTCCTTATTATTATCAATTGTAAGTGAAAATGTTGTAATCTGATGTTTGAAAACACCAGATGAAAGAGTTTCATCTAAATATAAATACAATATTAGTAAGAAAAAAAACCTATGAAAATAATATCAATATACTCAATGATCTAGTCATCTATATGAATAAATTTCATGAATCTTTCATTTGTTTAGAATAAAAACAACTGAATTAAACTTTCTTACCAGTAAAAAGACATTGAGCTAACTCTTCGTTAATATTATAAAGGCCGAGAGTATGTAAATTAGGATAATCGGTAGCACGTAAAACATGTTTCATGGATGATGATTCAAGATCAAGCCATTTGATTTTATCGTGAATTTCAGGTAAAATTTGTAAACAAAATCGAACAAGTATCATATTACAACAAAATAGATCGATAAAATTATGTGACAACCATTTGACAAAAGTCAAACGACTTGTAAAAATTGAATCATGAACAATTTTATTTAGTCGTTGAGTGACACGTTGTAAAGAATAAAGTACTTCAAGATTGCTCATTTTTTTAAAAATAATCATAAGAATTTCATCAGGTAAATCATTTAATCCAACGCATGAATATTCCATGTTTATTTTCATTTGTCTATTTTTTTCAACTTATGAAGGCCAATATGTATATGCATACACACTCATCTTTTCTATTTGACCGATGTCGTCAATACAAACAGTAATGCATTATTCTTGAGTCAAAATTGATAATGAATAAATGCATGATTGAAATAATGTTAAGTTATTTCTTTTTCTCCTTCGTCTAATATGTCACGTATGATAAAAAGTGATACTCCTTCTTTCTATTTATTTTATAGTGTTTGCGGGTATTTGCAGATTTCAGTTGGCACTTAATTAAAATTAATGATTTGAAAAATATTTCTATGGTCATTTGTGAAAACGAATCTAAAAATTTTAAGATAGACCCTAGAACACAACTGATTTTAAACTTCCCATTCAGCTATAAATGTATATTTCTTTGTTTGTATATTCGTACTCCAGCATGTTGCTAACGAAAACTAAATCAATTGTTTGGCAAAACTCGAGAAAGCCTCATAAATGGTCTAGAAGAGATATCATTTAGCTTTCAAAAATGTTATCTTGAGTATGTGAGTAAAGAGAAATCCATACCTCACACCCACACTCACCTTAATAAATACATCAAAATAAGAAACATATTTCAACCAGCATTCTTTTAGCGAAGCGTACTGTTCTAAAGAAAACAGTGATAATATCTAAAAAGATTCATGCCTCCCTTCTGGAGTTACCTATGGAGCTTGTCTATCGAATTTTGGAACATCTCGATGAATTGGGAATTTTTCTGACAGTTCCATAGGTGTGCTCAGGATTCAACACAATCATTGAGGGTGTGGGTGTGAGTTTAAGTAAGAGAATACCTACTCTCATCTCCGTGCCCATCTGAAGTACGATCGCTTTACGGTAAGGATATCAGTGTCAACAATGTATCTGTTCCCCCATTCACAACAATATGAACATAATACTACGTCTACTAAAACGTTAATGTACGACTCATTTAAGGTCACATGTAGGAATATAACTGTAACAATAATCAGTCCTTACCGGGAACCGCTCTACGTATAGTACTAATTCATACTGTAAACCGGCATAAATGTTTATCCGAAAGTATATCGGTGGAATGATCCTATAAGGATTACTCACCATTGAGCCGGATCCTGATAAATCGGATCTTTGTAAGGGTGTGGGTGGGTGTGGGTGGGTGTGGGTGTGGGGTGAGGGGGTGGGGGTGCGCGTAAATGTTCACATCCACCGCCACACCCACACCCACACCCACCCCACACCACACCCTTTTCACAGCAGATAAAATCTATGTGAAACTTCTTCGTGAAAAATAGTCTTTAAAAAATAACTTTTCCCTGAAACAGATACCTTTTTTTCGCAAAAGAAAATTCTCTGGAAAAGTCTGCTTTCACATAAGTATTTTCAGAGTAAAACTGCCCCTCCTAGCCTCGATGTCTCAAGATATAAGAGAAGTATGAAGGAGATCGACAACTCAGGACCATGATTGGAGGGCTATTGGATTCACCAGATTACGTAGATTGCAGTGGCCTTTTGAAAATTAGTAAACAAAATCTGAATAAAGCGCTGAAGAATTCGCTTGACAAAACGCGAATTTCACAAGAGCGGGATGTAAACCTCTCTGTCAGTCGAATACCTGTAACAAATTTATATTAAATATTATTTTTTCTTTAATCGAATTCTAACGCTTTGCACTTTGGAAACTTTGTGACACTCTGTTTAAAAAAACAAAGTGTCATTTTACACTTTGATTGCAAATATAAAGTGTCATTTAACTTTTTGTTTCAGTTTTCTATTACAAACGCTGCTGACAGAAAGAAAGAGAAACAACGCCCGTCCTTTTTCATGGGTCATCTTTTATACTTGTCAACTGCCTTCGACCATAACACCGTAGAACAAAGAAAATGATTTGGAATAACCGAATAAGACTGAAAAAAATGAATCGATTCGATTCGATTTCGGTCTCTGATATGTATATCATAAAGTTTTCCTTTTTTTTGAAAGTCCGCTAAAATTATCATTTCATTCATGGAAAACAATTGTAGAAAATCAACAAGATTTGTTTTTTCAAGCTAGCTCTCTGTCAAAAATACTAGTATTATATTTGTTTTCCATTTCGGTATTTGCTTCATTAAAGTCTCTTTTTTCAACAATTTACTAATAATTATCAGGTTTATATGGAGCAGTTCAATCAGAAAAATGCACAAAGTAAAAATGTTTCTGATCCTCGATGAAAAACTGGTGAAAATATAAAGTTTCACCGTACCAGCTGCAATACATGAAGGTCTGCTCATTTCATCCAACGCAGATGATTGCCCAAATCGAAATACGTTATTGCAACTGATATCTAGTTGCACATACTACGAGAAGGTGATTGAGTTTTTATTTTTTAATCATATTATATAAGCTTAATATTTTTATTGTTCGATTTTGAATCAAATAACGATCAATATCAACTTTTAATTGAGACGAGTAGAATAGAAAAGTACACTTGTTTTATGGAACTACTGAGAATAGAATTGTGACCCTGTCGGTTGATCGACGGCGGCGATGGCCGCGCTTTGTTCTACAAAATCGTCGACGGTGAAAGGTTAGCCGATTGGCTTACATTTCTAGCTGCATATCATTTATTATCACGTTCATCAGCGGCTGCATATTCTTTTGCGATGGCAACGGTTAATTCCACCGAAGAAATGACTAAACCACCTATAAGTTACATAGCATTAATAACAGAAGCTATACAAAATAGTCCAGATCTAAAATGTTCTTTAAATGGTATTTATCAATATATTATGGATCATTATCCTGTAAGTATTTCATGAAAATATGAAATAATGATATTAATTTTTTTTCTCTAGTATTATCGAGAAAATAAACAAGAATGGCAAAGATCTATTCGACATAATTTATCGTTAAAGGAGTTTTTTGTTAAAGTTCCACGAGATGATAAACAACCAGGTTTGTTGAATATTGACATTCGATTACCGAACTAATAATATCGATACTTTCTAGACAATGAATAATCATTGTGACTATTGAAAAGGACGTATTATTATATAAAAATAAGTGTAATATATAACTCCTTCTGTAGATTTTCGAGTAATGTTGCTAAGGGTGAGGACAGGAAGCTGAATTAAAATAACTTTCGACATTTGTTCTTTTGACCAAATTAATATAAATCAAAAAAAATCACTCATGTAATACTTTGAGAATTCATAGAATGATAGGATATTTCAAGCCCTTATGACTGATTATGTACCTTTCAAGAGACATTTTTTTATGGAGTCAAATGGATTAAGAATTTCCAGTAAGGTTTCATCCAATAGTTGAACATGTGTCTTCTCATTTGCGAACATAAAATCAAAATTAAAAATTTGTTAAATTCAATTTCAATTTCTTTTAAATTTAATTCATTCAAATTTAATATAATGTTAGATCTTAAATTTTCGCTTTTCAAATTTCAAAAAATTTACTGATAACAATTTTACAACAAATTAAAATTTCAGTTATATTTTTAAACTTGTTCAAATTTATAGAGTTCGCTAAATATTGAGTTTCATTATTTGAATTGAATGATCTGTAATTTGTAGAGAGCACTAAAGTACAATAGTGCTTCTTTTCTTTGTAATTACTGATATTTATAGAGTTCACTAGATATCGAGTTTCACTATTTCAATTTAATGAGCTGTAATTTGTAGAGTGCGCTAAAATATAGCAGTACTTTTTTATTCTTAATTGACTTCAATTTATAGAGNGATCCTATTTGTAAGAAAAAGATTTGTTTTTATTTGTTTATTAAATTCTTCGAAAATCAATTGGTTGATAAGAAAATCTCGGATAATGTTATGCTCAATTTTATTCAATATAATAATTAACGATTTATTTTAAACAAATTGTTCGACGTTTAAAGTTTTGCTTTTTTCCTAAGTTTTTTTTTTTTGTTGTTGAAGATAATGATGATAGATACTAATCAAGATAATGTTGATGATGATTATGATCGAACAGAAACGTTCTAGACCACTACCACTTTATAGAACAAATGATTTAAATAATAGGAATGAAAAACGAAAATCATTCTAAACGGTACAAATTCAATAAACACAACAATCATTTATAATATAAGATTATTCTTTAGATAACGACTAACAAATAGAAACACAAATTTTATTATCAATCAAATTATTTAGAATTTGATTATTCATTTAAAAGGAAATTAAAGTTAACTATTATTGGTATCAATGGTGATTAGTCGATAATCGATTAAATGATCAACAAGGTTTAAAACGTTTATTCTATACCTTATATTTATATACCTTCGTTATCGTCGACTGTCCATATTATTTTCTATCGAAATAAACAACATTTCTATAACAACTTAATATAATATTCGTTTATATATTTTATCTTCTATCATCATTCGAAAGATTTAATCAAATAAATAATTCTAAAACGAAAAAAAATCACGAAAAAAAATCAATCTATCAATATCGATCACCATCACCGTATTCACCTAATACCAGTTTATTAATCAATCGATATTTAACAATTAACAAAATCGTCCTATCTATTATCCTCGTCTATCAAATTGACAACACTAAACCGACGAATTATTTTAATTCTTTATTAAATTTATTATTGTTATTTATCAATATTAAACAAATACTGATTATCAATTGTTATACGAACGACATTGATCGTTGAAAAATCAAATTCAAATAAATAAATATTTATCGTCATAGACGAGCAACATCAACAATTATTTCTCATGTTAAAAAACGATAAACTATTTAGAAAATGATTTATTCCTATGATAGTGATCAACGATTGACCACCCTACAATAAATAAGACCAACGTCGAATAACAATATTTGAGAATAAATATGATTATAAATCATATTTGGATGACTACAGATCATTATCAACGGTCGTTTTATTTAACGTTCCACTTTATAATATTTTATTGTCAACAACATTCTTTAGTTTATAATCGATTATTGTTACTGGTCACCTAGTCGAATTCTCAATTATGGTCGTATCTAACTGATTGAAAGAATTATTTATTTATTTGAAATTTTTACAATTAATATATGAATATTTTATCATATAAATATAATAATCAATTATTGAAAACCATTTATTGGTCAATATAACTTCCAACATTTTTCTAATCTCTCTGATTAAGAACTAGTCAGACGACAGATGAGAGGTATAGAAAATTATCTTCGGTTCGAGAATATTTATCTTTTTCGCTGCTACACTCTTATTTACTAAATATACAATAATATAGAATTTTTTTTCTATAGAATTAAAGATAAAATTGTTCTCGACAAACGTTCTATAAGATTGTCGAGTGTCTGAATTGATGTTTGAAAATCTCTGTTTCGATAAAAATCAATCGTAACTAATAATTAATAAACGGATTCTTATTTATAAATGGTTGCTGTTTCATTTGATTGATTTCAAAGAATTTTTTTCTCTCGTAAACAAGAATTCCTAAAAACCATTTCTCTTATTCTAATCGAATATTTTCAAATTTTCTCAGATTCGTTTAAAATGCTGAAAAATAAATGAATATTTATTCAACTTACTTTTCGATCACTCGTTTTATCTTTAATATCGTTATAGAACTCAAATAGAATATATATTCGTTTCCTATTATGAACACGGATACTATTTTTTATCAGCTTGTTGTTAGTCTTGGATTTCTCAGTGATTGTTTCAATCCATTGATGAGGTTGGGTCAACAACTGATCAATCGATTTTGAATCGGAACTATCTGCATCATATCGATCCTTATGATCTATAAATACCATGAAAAGAGTTCGGGACGACAGATTATTACTGTCGAGATAGTGCATTGTTGACGATATTGTTAAGTAGAATGGCGTGGTCTCCCTTTAGAGCACTAGAAAACACTGACTTTGGAATTTCGACTTAAAATTTGGCACAGAAACAGACATCAATCAGAGTAGGTTATTATTAAAGTTAAAGATCTTTTGCTTGTTGTTCCTATTCGTAAATAAGAACATAATTCAGCTGTATCTTAGAATATGAATAGCCAAAACGACCTTAAACTTTCACAATAAACTACTTTCACTGAGATTTGTTTCTGCGCAAAATTTCAAATCAAAACTCTAAACTGAGTTTTTCTAGTTGGTGAGGGACGACACCGACATTGTGCTTAATTAAAAAACGAGAAGTACCAGACAAAATCAGATTGGTTTGGAGAGAAAAATAAGGATGAGAATATTCAAACCTATATGGACGTTCGGACATATCCTAGGACACATTTTTTGCCTTTTTCAATAAACGTTTAACGTTAAGTTAATCCTGAATAGAGTTTTTTAAACTATTTCATATAGGGATTCTATTATATCTAGAATAAATCAATCTATCAACTATATCAACTTGAAACATTTATACTTTACTTATTCGTCTAATATATATTTACAAGCGAGAATCGAATACTCGGATATGATCAGACCTGATCCGAAATAATCTAACCATTCATTTTTCATTATATTCCGACAATTAATCTCTTTGGCAACAAAAATGTTTTAGACCGAACTGTAAGAGTAGAAGGAGGATTATATCGGACAGCTCTCGACTGAGAGAACGATAGAAGATGAATATTTTATCTGCAGGTCCTTTGTGGATTTTCTCCTATTGATTTCAGAAGTATATTCATCTATCCTAAACAATAGATGAAACGATCGTTAAACGATATTTCATAAATTGATTATTATTTCAATAACAAATGGAGACTTTTTCGATATTAAAAGTCATTTATGAAATATATTCAAATATATTATCACTTCGCAATAGAATATTGAATATCTAAACTGTTCGTGTTATATAAGAGTATACTATTTTATAGAATTCTTATCCAATATACAAATAAATATCTCATGACGATTTTTTCGTTTTATAACCAATTATCGAAAATAGTTCTCAATTGAATAAAACTAACAAAATTTAAACGAAAAAACTAAACCATCAAGACCAATATTAACGTCCCGATTCCGATAGAATATCAACAACAAAAAAACAAAAAAACTTAGGAAAAAAGCAAAACTTTAAACGTCGAACAATTTGTTTAAAATAAATCGTTAATTATTATATTGAATAAAATTGAGCATAACATTATCCGAGATTTTCTTATCAACCAATTGATTTTCGAAGAATTTAATAAACAAATAAAAACAAATCTTTTTCTTACAAATAGGATCAAAAAAAAATTCATCCATTTATATAGATTATCAATCGTTTTACATTTACATTACATTAAAGATAAGTCGCTTTTACTAGTTTAATCAGAGCTAAACGATGACAGAACATTATCGGTTTTTTTTCGTTTTATTATCTTATTAATAAATCTATTCGTTTAGAAAAATAAAACCCAAAGTAATAACACTGTAAATTATTTAATATATAAACTATATCTAGAACGATCAACAAGAATAACAAGAAAAACACGGAAAAAGAATCAAGAACAATTTCAACTTAACAGAGCTATTTATTCTTCGAATGACATCACTAGTCGTTTTTTATTTTAAATAGAATAAATTTTTTTCAAAATTCTTTTCATTTATCCAAAGGTGAATATCCAAGAAGTTTACGCCAGTTGATCGATTATCGTCATGAATTTATTCCTAAACCTATTTTTATTTATTTAAATCCAAAACGAATATGTGATCGTCTTTTATTTGATAATACTCTTTTTAAACGCTACTCTCCTCAATTTACTATCTATAATAGAGAACACATATGAAAAACATTTTATCGAAAACATTTCATATAAAATGTATTATATTTATCAACTAACACAAACATTTTTAGTTTTTTTTTTTAAATTAAAATCAAATTTGAGTTTCTTGTTTGTCAATTGACGGGTCATTTTAGTTCAACTGATGATTATCATGATCAAACAATGAAACGACCAAATAGATATACAAGAACAATATATTATGATGGATATGAGAATAAACAAAAG